TCAATACTTAGGTCACTTTTGCAAAACTCTTCACACAACTCCCCTAACTGACTTTCAGCTTGACAAATTCATTTCACATTTAAAATACACTACAACTACCAACACACTTTATTCAGCTCTCAAATAAACTCTAATTCTTCTAGAACACCAGCAAAGGTGGACAGCCCACACACACACACACACACACACACACACACACACTGTCACCCAGAAAACAATGAGATAAAACACACTAACAACATGCAGCATTACGCAGTGTTTTCTTGTGTGAAACAAAAGCACATCTCTGTTTATAACTGCAGTATATGTTACTGGAAGGAATCAGACATGATGCAGAATTCATCAATATTTCATGTTTATTTATTTGTATTTTTGCACTAAGCATTTCCAAAATATAAGAGTTTGTCCACACACCGTCCACTGATACAGATACAATAGTCATGCTAATCTGGCATCAATAGGGACGAATCCAATATTATTATTACATTATTATATTATAATTACCAATGCTCAAATTACTGTAATCAGTTACTTTTTCTCAGGAATTGTAGTTTTATAAATGTGTGCTTTTACTCTCACTTGAGTACATGTTTAGTGCAGTTTCTGTACTTTTATACTCCACTACTTTCCTTCATCCTGCGTCACTGCTTTATTTTTTCTTGTGTATGTGGATTAAAGAAATCAGCCCTTCCAGCTGCAACCCATCTCTGGGAAACATTCACACACACACACTCATACACTACAGACAATTTAGCTTACCCAATTCACCAGTACCACATGTCTTTGGACTGTGGGGGAAACCCACGTGAAGGCATGGAGAACATACAAACTCCACACAGAAACGCCAACTGAGCCGAGGTTCAAACCAGCGTCCCAGCAACCTTCTTAGTGTGAGGCGAACGTGCTACCCACTGCGCCACTGCCTCGCCCTGTTGTTTAAATTACACTTTTAAATGACAATACTATGAAGCAACATTTAAAATTAAGTAATTCAACACAAAAAGGACAGAAAACATGTTTTATATATATATATATATATTTCTTTTATTATAGCCTTTAGCAGGCACCAATCACATTTAAACAAATTTCTTCTTTAATATTCGGATACAAAATGTTATATAATATCCAAAATTGTAATATGTAATATAAAATGTATAAGAAACATTTAGCCAACAGAATAACCTTGGCTCTTAAGAAAACTGATCCCCAAGCAATACCTGTAGGACGCTAACATCATTTTTTTTACCAATTGAGTTTAAACAGCTTTCTTCACTTTGGTACTCCTATTCAAAATGTAAAAGTATAAAATGTACAGGAAACATATAGCCAACAACATAGCATGCATAACATTCAAGCTCTTGGGAAAACCAATGGGCTCTATGCACGGCGGCGCGTGACGCATTTCCGGTAAAATTTAAGACCCCGAGCCTACTTCCGCCGATCGTACAGTACAGTGCTACAACAGGAGCGCTACTGATAAAAACGAGTAATGTTTTGGACAGTTGTCTTAATGTTTTATGCCATTATAGCCCACTTATATATGTTTATGTCAGCTACATAAATATGACATCTAAACGTTTAAAAGTGTCATTTCAAAGACGTGAGAACAGTACTTGTAGATACCACTGCTGTGTTCAGCAACGCACAGCGTCAGAAATTGAACTCTTACCTTAGTTTCCACACGTTTCCAAAAGACAAAGTCGTGCAGAAGAGGTGGGTTGTTGATATTAAACGTGAGAATTTTACAGAAACAGAAAAAAACAAGAGTGTAGCTGACAATTTCAGTCTAGAAAACTGATCGAGGCTCGAGTGCCAACCGGATGCAGACATTTAAAGAAAGGAGCTTTTATGGCAAATAATAGTTTATTTTCATTGCCTTTGAAGTAAAAAAAATGAACATTAATATACATAAACATTTCTTAAGCTATTTTATAAGTGCAATTTTTAAATTCAGAATAAAGACCTTTATTTTATTCACTGTACATATAAAATATAATTCACTGCATAGAATTTGAATTAAAATTGTCAAAAAAATGTAACATTTTGAAAAAAATATTTTATTCAGATGAACGGAAAAAATGACATTGAATCAGTTGTTTTTTTGAATCAGGTGCTTTTTCTGTAACTTGTGCATAGAGAGGTATTTGGGCTTATACGTATTAAATAAATAAATAAATCACCCATCTGTTTCATTGAACTTAACACATAATTGATCCATTCCAAACAATTGTTCATGTGACAACACACATTACACATTTCAGAGTATTGGGCTGTCTGCAAAAGCAAAGCAACCAAATGTTTGCATATCCCACTCTCAGCCACACAAGAGCAGGAGCTATTAACTAGCAGACGATGGCATGGATCTTCTGACGGATGTCCGCTCCAGGATGAAGTAACACATAAAATTTTCTAGCTCTGAATCTCATAATGTTACCTAGAAAACAGAAACAAGAATATTAATAGGTTTTTAAAGAGAGTCATTAAAGGCAGATCCCTCAAAACTGAAAATTCTATTTCCTCATCCTTCACTTGTTCCAAACCTGTTTGAGTTTCTTTCTGATGTTTAACACAAACAAAAATACTTTGAAGAAAGCTGGAAACTTGCAACCACTGATATTCATAGTAGTTCTTTTTCCTACCATGGAAGTCAATGGTTACAGGTTTTCAGCTTTCTTCAAAATATCTTCTTTTGAAAGGCATCTGCAGCAATATCATCAGATTAAACTACACAGTAAATCATTAATTTAACAATTAACAAGCACAATGAATAAGCATTTGTTCATTAACATAAAAACTAATAAATATTGCAATAGACAAATTGTTGATGTGAAATTAACTAATGACACCTTATTGTTTTGGGTCACCCTCCCATTTAATTACAATGTTATCGACTAAATAGAAAGCATGCTATCTACACTGTTACACTGCATCTGTCATCTCCACTGTTTCAGCAATAAATCTCAGCATTGACACAGTGCTATTTGTCTGTTGTGGATGGAACGGCATTGTATTATTTTATTCCTAATATATCTTGCTCAATAATCATGCTTACAAGCTAAGACAGCATCTGTGTTTCTGTGATTATCCGAACTGAACAGTGGTGGTCACTTTAGAACAGTAAAAGTATGAATGGGACAGAATTTCACATGTATGCTGTCCTACTCTCAGCTGGTGAGGAGACTCCGATTTCTTCATAGATCTATCGGTAGTAATGAGCTCTCACTGAGATCTTATTCCTGCCCTGTTTTTACCTGACACTTTGAGACAGAATTACGTACACATATGATTATTTTAACTTGCGTGATAAAGCTGCAGATGGACGGATCGTAAGAGTATTAACGCTAAAGTTAGCCTTCAGGCTAGCTGAACTTACCTTCATAATTGCACAGGTAGGAAGATGCATAAAACTTAAAACCTTTCTCAAGCTTTGCTCTGCGGTGTTGTAGAGCACATCCGGACAATCATTTGCACATCGTTGACCATAATTTACTCGCAAATAGCGAGTAAATATTGACGACTCTGCCATAATACTGTTTACCGCCGCTTAAAATCACCCAGACCGGAAGCTGGACCGCGGCCTTAGACAAAACGCGGAAGTAATGCGTGCATATAGCCCATTGACTGTAAAAAATATGGACGACGCGACAGCCCTTTTTCCCATTGAACGCCTTGAGGGCAAAACGCCTGCTTGACGGGCACAAACTGTCGCAAAAGACTGCTGAAATTGGAGCCAGACATGCGCAGAAGGATTGTCTGATGGAGCCAGAGGAGGAGCCGCGAAAATGAGCAGAGTCGAGCTTCCAATCAAACGCTTTATGTAAAATCAACTACGCCCCCCGAACTTCTCAGCATGCGTTTGCTGTCATATCAACACAAATGGATGTAATAACGATAACAAATATGAGGGTTTTATATATTCAATCGCGCCAGCTCCAGGCCGCAGCGCATAACTTACTCGCGGCGTCGCGGGGTGATTCCGGCTCGCATGCGGCAGCGCCTGCTCGCTCGGCCGCCGCATCAGGCTCGATTGACTCGGACTGGAATCGGGCAGTGAGTCCAGGCATCCGGAGTAGGTCCAGCAGAGGTAACATTAGTCAGTCTGAGCTCTAAGAGATAAGTCTCCGGCAGGCGAGAATCTAGCCGGAACTGTGTTTTGCTATCTGGGTGGCTAGGCGTGTATCAGCAAACTAATAAAGCCCGAAAAAAGCCCTGAACTTAGCGAATAAACAGTGTTCCACCAGGATCATGTATGTCAGAAACTATAGTTTACTGCTGAACTCATTTTGTCATGGTAAAATAACACAGAAATCGAATAATAACATTTCAGTCTACTTCAGTCTCCTGCCGAAGCTCAGACGCCGCGCTTTGAGAAACTGTCAATCACAGCTGTGTATCACGATGACACGCCCAGCATTAAATTACTGCTAAAAACAAACTGTTTACAAAAATGAAGATCTGCACCTATTTCAGCACAATAACCAGTGCCTTAATCGACCAGAACTATCTTTCGGGACATTTTATTGCAAGTGTAATATTTTTTTTTATTTGGGCTCAAGTCTCCCTCATTAACACGGAGGAGGCGGGCTTTATGACTTGTACTGCAGCCAGCCCCCAGGGGGCGATCTAACGGCCGAAACCTTCACTCAAACGTAGGCTTGCGGCACACTTGATATAGCCCATTCCCAAACTGTGCCGAAAACACGCGGTGATACTTCTTCTTGTTGTTTTCGTATGGTGACATCCAAACGCACTACCGCCACCTACTGATATGCGCGAAGTGACTCTCCAGAGTGAGAGTTGTGGATTTGAAGCGTCTCAGTCTCATTGAATCAACATGTTCTGATCAAATTGATTTGATTATATCTTGATTCAGTTTCAAATAACATGAATTAATCATTTAACATACGTAAACCTGATTTGTTCTTTTCAATCTGACAAATTTTTATTTTGTAAATCCAAAACATGCCTAGTTGCTTTTTTTGAGTGTAGCTGCCCTTTAAACATGCGTTTAGCCAACTTTATACTTTTTCAAACCAAATAAAAGTCTTCTGGCAGGCTTTCACAAGCCACTCTAAAGTCTGTCCTCGAACTTTAATATCTAGTTAAGGACAGACAGGAGATTCCTAGTGATGGTTAACCTGGAATACGACAGCACATTGTGGATTCAGAACTGGAAGTTGTTTGGGACTCACTGTCCGTCTCCCTGTTTAAGTACGGCATGAACTGTGCACAATTCAAACTAAACTTAAAATAAGACACCCTGATGCTAATAAAGGCATGAGAGCTTTTGCACTTCACCAGAGCAGAACACTAAAACCAAACAAAGTGCAGGGTGTCCATCAGGAACACACACTGCAGCCGCGGCGCAGACACCCTGCAGGTCTGTCGGAGTCTCCAGATACACAGTCAACTCCAGTTTCTGCTCTACGTTTGCTTTATTGGTAGTAGTAGTATTACATTATTAGTAAATGTCGGAATCAGAGCTGTTCATGGTGCATAAAGGTGTGTTTCTGACCACACTCGTGCACCCAGCTGAGAGCCTGAAATACTACGAGGACTTCACTTTCCGTCCGGATGACATCCTGATCGTCACTTACCCCAAATCAGGTCAGTGTGACGCAGTAATCGGTCGTTTGTTTTGTCAACTTTTATATAACCACCACAGGTGTACAGGACGATGATCAAATTATTTAGATTTTTAATTATTGTGAACTATAAGAGTTTAAACTAAAGATGCACTCAAATGACAATTCATGGCGGAAACCAGAAACCGAAAAAGAAGAACCCAAGACTGAAAACCCAAACACTGAAATAAATCAAGACTGAAAACCCAAACACTGGAATAAACTAGGCCGATTATGAGCACCATTGCAGATATAGCTATATGTGCTAACCTTACTGAAACCAAATCCCAGTGGTCAGCACTGTGGCCTCACAACAAGAAGGTCGCTGGTACGAGTCTCGGCTGGATCCATTCTTACATCCATCCATTCATCCATCCATCCATCCATCCATCCATCCATCCATCCATCCATCCATCCATCTATCTATCTATCTATCTATCTATCTATCTATCTATCTATCTATCTATCTATCTATCTATCTATCTATCTATCTATTCATCCATCCATCCATCCATCCAACTGCCTGTTCATCCGTCCGTCCGTTCGTCCGTCCGTCCGTCCATCTGTCTGTCTATGTGAGAAATATTTTATCTATTCAAATTCTAAAAATATCTGCTACAAATTTAAAAAGTTTGAATATACTTAAATATGAATGCAAATATTTTAGATTTAGTATATTTTAGCATTTCTGTATTTACATAAATGCACACAAAACACAAATCTATGAATACAGTTATTGTTATTGTGGATGTTATTTATAGTGAATTATTGTTTTACAACACTGAAATAAACGTGTAAATATTTTTGTTTAGCATATTTTTGTATTTTATTCTTATTTTACGGCACATAGTACATTACAAAAGCTCACCATACAAACAAAAAATATTTATTAAATACAAACTTTTATTTTCAGATGTGATTAATTGTGATAAATATTTTTTTGCAGCACTTATATAAATATATATATGTCACTATTTTTGTTTTGCATACTTTTGTACTTTATGTGTGTTTGTTTATAATTATATACTATACATACTATACACAATGCACATATCATAAATACCAACTTTTTTTTTGGATGTGTTTGACAGCACTGTCTTATATATGTTGTTGTTGTTTTTTTTGTTTTTGTTTTTTTTGTCTTTTTTTACATTTATTTATTTGATTTATGCTTTTTACAAAACGACAACAAAATATAGAAAATAACAATACAATACAATAATAATACATAAAATAGAATATATACAAAGACTAGCCTATAACAGAACAACAGAACACAGAGGGTCAAATACACACGAAAGCTAAATATAATTGAGCTGGTCAGGTAATGCAGAATTAAAGGTAATTATTTAGTAACCTTGCTCTTATATTACCAGAAAAATGCATCATCTTGACTATAGTTTTATTGTCAAATAATAGTTTGGACACATTATTAAAAACATTATGTATTATGAATTACACTCAATCTTTAATTACTGTTATTGACAGGGGTGATTGGTTATGCTTGCATTTCTTCCAGTGCATTAAAGGTCTTCTAATATCTGTCCCCATGTTTTATCAAACATCTCAAATGTATAGTTATTGATATCTCTCATCTTTTCCAAAGCCAGCATGTTTACGAGATCCCGAGCCCACAAACTCAGTTTCCCACATCCTCAGTGGTCATTATTGTTAATGTGGTGAAATGCTGGTGTGTTGTGTTGTGCTTCAGGCACCACATGGATGCAGGAGATCGTCCCCCTGGTAGTGAGCGAGGGCGATCTGACGCCGGTTCTGACCGTGCCCAACTGGGACCGAGTGCCGTGGCTGGAGGAGCATCGAGCCATTCTGCTGAGTTTAGAGCAGAGAGCATCGCCACGCATCTTCGCCACTCACTTTCACCACCAGATGATGAACCCGTCCTACTTCAAGATCAAGCCCAGGGTAAACACATGCTCACCCCTGACAATCACACACCGCACTGCTCTAATAGACTTCACTGAGGTGACTGTGTGCTCCTCAGGTTCTGTATGTCATGAGGAACCCCAAAGACGTCTTCATTTCTTCATATCACTTCCATGAGATGGCCTCGTTCCTGGTCAGCCCGGGAACACAAGACGAGTTCATGGAGAAGTTCCTGGATGGAACAAGTAAGGATTTCAGTGTTAATATAGTTAACTACTAGCTCAAATAAAGCGTTTTTCCTTGTCTTTCAGTATTTACTCTTATTTTAATCACCAAAGCTGTCTGCACAGAGACTTTTAGTTTGGATTAAGCCCACTCAGGTGCTTCTGATGAACTGTTACACCACGTAAATCACCAAAACTGCCATAAATACACAAATATATTTAAGATCTGGTTTGATTAGACTGAATTCCTGATTAATTTATGATATAAAGTGTTTTCCTCACCTGACAAGAACATCACCAAACATCAATCTGAGCCGTAATAGTTTATTAATTCCTTTAATTAAATTAAAACGGCTGAATGGATCGTACACTATGTATTATTCAGACACTAGATGGCGCCAAACAGTTGGCGCAAAGCTGACAGAAACGAAACGGACTGATGTAACCATGACATTGACGCTGGACAGTGGAGTGAGCATCCTCATGCAGGTCTTTATTAAACAGGATGGTCAGACAGGCAGAGGTCGATACGGGAACTAACAGATGTGTGTGGGCAATCCAGAGTCGCAGTCGTAGTCGCAGGCAGCATGCATAATCAAACAAAACAAAGCAAGGACTGACATGGGAAGCAAGGCAAGGAAAAACACCTCATAATGTTCACTTACAGGACACAAGACTCAGCAACAACTGTGTGTCAAGCTGCGATCACACTAGAGTTTGACAATGCGAAAATCAGGTGGCGCTGCGAAAAGGGGCGGGATTAAACAAGAATAAACAAGATTATTAGACATTAAAAAAGCAAGCGATTGCTCCATGTTTTTGCATTTCTGTCCAGAGAGGTCATGTTTAGGTCCTCGATTGGTCTCATGCAGTCATGTGATGCGATTTCGCAGGTCAGAGTTCACCAAGCTTGAACTTTGCACCGCAGCGACCTGCGAAACTTGACGCATGACCTTGCGTTTCCGGTCTGACGCATTCACATGCGGATCAATATAGGTCAGTGGGGAGACCCCGTTTACATTAATGCATATTCGTTTTAAAATGCATGAGTTTTGCCACGGTTACGCCATCCGTCCACGCTACGCCGGAGTTTTCGAGTGCCGAAAACGGAGCGTTTTGGAAACGCTGGATTAGCCGTTTTCATTCTGAAGCGCTGCTGCTCCGTCTCAGTGTGGATGAGGGAAAACGGAGACATCTGAAAACGGAGGCGGGGCTGCAGAGATTCGCTGCCTGTAGTCTGAATTAAGACAAAGATGTCCTGTCTATATTGTCCTGTTAGGAGGGGGGGGTGACTAAACAAAGCATGCAAATTCAGTACTGGAGTCAGCATGGCATAGGTGATAAAAACCGGCCCAGCTACTGACCACACAAGTTAATCAACAAAGGTTTCTGTAGCACAAAAGCAACAGCAAAATATAAACAGGGGGGCGAATAATTCTGACCTCAACTGTATAGTATACTGTATTATATTTTCATCTGGGAGATTATGTACCATTTCCCCCTATCCACATGGTAATATTGTTATTGTTCATGTCATTTACCAACATCTTAATTCCTCTTTGCTCTGTGAGGGATTGAATGTCTGTGTGTTTTGATTTCAGTCATGTTTGGCTCCTGGTTTGACCATGTGAAAAGCTGGCTGAACGCTGGAGAACAGGAGCACATCCTCTACCTCTGCTACGAGGACATGATCTCTGTGAGTGAACACACAGCTTAAGGATGTTTTAACACAAGGCTAACATGTCACGTTTCTCATAGTTAACAAAAAGCTAACATGAGCATGTTTTAACACTGCTAACATATCTATGGAAGTCAATGGTTACAGGTTTTCAGCATTCTTCAAAACATCTTCTTTTGTGCTCAACAGAAGAAAGAAACTCCTAAAGTTGATCATTTCTGAGCTCTCTATTCCCTTCATTTGTTTCTCACTCAGGATCTGAAAGCCTCTGTGGAGAAGATCGCCACTTTTCTTGGGAAATCCTTGAGCTCAGAGGTGGTGGAGAAAATCGCAGATCACTGTGTGTTCAAGAACATGAAGCAGAACAAGATGTCCAACTACTCTCTGGTGCCGGAGGAGTTCATGGACCAGAAGAAGTCAGAGTTCCTGAGGAAAGGTAAACTCACGCGCGCACACACATGCATGCACACACGCAAACATGCATGCATGCACAAAGAGACACAAACATGCATGAGCTAACATGCACGCAAAATAGGCATACACATGCACAAACACGCATGCACATACATACACACACACACATGCACAATGCACAAACACTCATGCTCAAACATGCACAAACATGCATGCACACACAGACACATATAAACACACACACACACACACTCGCCCTCATGCAGTGACTGTAAGGCTCTGCAAAAATACACGTCACTGAGAACAGCACCATATAAATGAGACATGAGGATGAGCACAAACAACTCCTTTCATGAGGATCACACTCACTCACCCTGCTGTATGCTGAATATACAGTGAAAGCCTAAATTACTTGTCCTTTATTATTATTATTATTATTATTATTATTACTACTATGTATATATATATATATAATAATTTGCCTTCAGCTTTTTAGATTGATTATACATTCACCGGCCATTTTATTAGGTACATCTGTCCAACTGCTTGTTAATGAAAATTTCTAATCAGCCAATCACATGCCAGCAACTCCATGCATTTCAGCATGTAGACATGGTCAGAATGGGGAAGAAAGGGGATTTTAGTGATTTTGAACGTGGCATGGTTGTTGCTGCCAGACGGGCTGCTCTGAGTATTTCAGAAACTGCTGATCTACTGGGATTTTCACGCACAACCATCTCTAGGGTTTACAGAGAATGCTCCGACTAAGAGGAAATCTCCAGTGAGCGGCAGTTCTGTGGGCGCAAATGCCT